AAGATAAAATTACAGTTTCACAGCTTGAAAACACTCCACACCTGCTCACGTACTCAGACCCGTCTCTTTTCTTCAACTTAAACCATGGTTAGTGAAGGCAACATTTTTTCCCTAATTTTTAAAGGAAACCTGGGGGGAAATAGTAAGGAGAAAGTGGAAACTTTGGGGAAGTTGGTAAAGAAATGCGATTTTAATTATTATTGAAAGGTGAAAACTGCTAGTTTACAGCCCTGGCAAGGGAGACGTTTATTTTACACACATTAATTTGAAAACGCCAGTTTCCTACATATTCATCTTGTCTCAAAAACATGCCATGGATCATTAATAGGGCTGGATATCACTGATTCCTTGAAAGCCTGGATTACTGTGTTTCAGGCAATCCAGACTGAGTTTGTTTCAAGGTACTTTTAAAATAACCTTTCAAGCTATTCCTGTGGTGATGAAGATAAACACCTAACAACATGTATCGTACGATCATAGAATGGTTTGGGTTGGAAGGGACCTCAAAGATCATCTAGTTCCAACCCCCCTGCCATGGGCAGGGACACCTTCCACTAGATCAGGTTGCTCAAAGCCTCATCCAGCCTGGCCTTGAACACTTCCAGGGATGGGGCATCCACACCTTCTCTGGGCAACCTGTTCTAGTGCCTCACCACTCTCACTATAAAAAATGTCTTCCTTAAATCCAATCTAAATCTGCCCTCTTTCAGTTTAAAGCCATTGCCCCTTGTCCTGTCACTACAAGTGTTGTAAAAAGCCCCTCTCCAGCCTTCTTATAGCCCCCTTCAGGTACTGGAAGATTGCTACCTGAAGGTGTTCTCGGCATCTTGATCAAAGTTGGCTTTCACCGTGTAGGACATACAGTGAAGATGTGCTCCACCACCACTCCAAAAAAATGGGTTTATATTTGCATGGAACAATTTGCTGTTGAATTTGAGTTGAAGACCAACTTACCCTTCTTCTCGTTGCAGAGAACTCAAGCCACGGGAAGCTGCCCGACAGCAAAGGCAGAGTGAGCAGCTTGCTTCACAAGCCCGAGTTTCCAGATACGGACATGATGGAAGTCCTCATCTGAGCAGAGGATGGTATCTCTGGGATTTCATGTGCATACAGCCAGGTCCAAGATGGTCCTCCGTGTGCCAACCTTAAAAACTAACCCTGAGAGTCTGAAGAAAGATAGAGGAAGTTTGTATCCGAAGTGAAGCTTGAGTCTGGTATGTTGAGACTTTGGACCAGGAGAGAAGTCAAGAGCGCTGAAGCGGAGCGATGAAATGAGCATCTGGGATTTTCTGAGCAGAAAGGGGCGTTGAACACTGAATGTGGCGTGAGAAGGGGATTGTTGAGGGAAAAGGAAACTGCGTTTTCTGGTGTAAAGAGAAGCTAGTGAAGTTACAGACTGGGTGCAAACTGCCACTCTGTTTTCCTGCCTCTCTGCAGCCAGGACAGGGAGTGAAATCCCGACTCTTTCGAGGCCAGAGGAAGTTTCTGAATAACCCAGGAGAGAACTTGCATCTTCCTCAGTATCAATTCATTTCTCAAAAGTATTCACTGCTTAGTTGTGGTGAATAATTGGTCCGTAGATGTACACGGCAGGTTCTTGTAAGTATTTGTTTGAAGTGGTGTGGTTTTCCTGGACAGGCAGGTCAGGTGCCTTTTTCCTGGCTGGACAAGTGTTGCTCTTGGAGCTGGATTTACAAAGCAAATATTCATGTCTTGCAATCTCGGAGCTTGCTGAAACTTCTGTTTTTTGGTAGGAGCACTTGTTGGCTAGAATTCCCATGGAGGATGAAAGTAGAGAGAGGGAGGAGGACCCTGCTGAAGCAATCCCTTTTGTAAGGATGGGAAGGTTTTGGGAGGGGAAGCTGAGGGAGGATCCTGGCAGCTCCCTGAAGGGCTGTGCAGTGCAGAGGCTCTTTCAGAGGGGGGTTGTGTGGGTGTGTTTCCAGTGGCGTTAAGCTGGGCTTGCATGTGAGATCAGAAGATGCCTCTACCTGTGCACTGGTTCACAGTAGTTGAAGAATCGGTGTGTTTGTGGTAAGAAAAGGATTCTTCCTTATTTTCAATGCTTCCAGCCAAATCCTACCTTCCTTGAGCATACAAACCTGCCGTTTGAACTGACACAGGACTGGGCATTAAGGGGTGTAGGATCAGGCTGGGAACTGCAGGGTTTAACTGCAAAGCAAAGCGTGAGCATCATCTGTTTTCTGCGCTGAGCTGCAGTTTCTTTTCACCCTGTTTTACCCGGAATGGAACATTTCTCATTTTCAGCTTAGTCCCCGATTTCTGTAAGAGGTGTCGGCTGTAAGAAAGCCAACTCACCAGCTGTGTTAATCATGGCACACTTTGCCTCAGGCATTGCACACGCTGATTGGGAAATTTTGCTCTTCGAGGTATTTTTGTACTGGCTTTGCAGTTCCTGAACCTTGTGGTGCACTGTTACAACATTAGGAAGAACTTGGCGTTGGGGAAAAAGGATGATGGGCTTTTATGTGAAGCTGCCTAGAGTGGAAGAGTGATGGGTGCTGGAAGTAGTTGTGTGCTCAGAGCTGACTCAAGGTCACTCCTTCCTGTAGGTATCAAATTGGAGTTTGTGATTGTGAAAACACCAGGCGCTTTAGACTCGGCTTTCGCTGAAAACTGAAGTCCTTGCAACCTCAGAGCCTTCAGGGGCCAGAGCCCTGTGCTCAATACTGCCTGGCTGATACCTTTTTTTAAAAAAAACCCAAAATTGCTATGTTAAATCTATGCACTTATCTTTGTGTGTACCTAGAATTAGACGTCTGTCGGTGTTGCCCTCTTTCTGATTTTTGCACTTGTTAAACCTAAGCGGTTCTGCGACTCTATGGAGTAGTGGTAGGTGGGTCGTGTGGTCAAGCGAACTGTGTGTTTCGAGTATTAGCAGCTTTGCGTCGTGAAACCAGATGTGTAAAACCCTCGGAAGGTGTTATGTGGCTTAATATATGCCTTGTAAAATAATCTTTTTCTTTTTTTCTGTAAAATTAATTTAAAGGTTGTAAGTGTTTGCGTAAAAGCCGGGCCCGCGCATGGCAGCAGTGCTCACCCACCTCTGTGGCCCTTCCTCGAGTGTCTGTGGTGGGAGCGGGGCACGAGGAAGACAAAGCAAGGGAATACAAGTAAAACGATGGTGAATATTTCATTTAATCATTTTTCTCTAAGAAATAAGGATACCCAGGTGCTTGGGAATCCCTAAGCATTTTATTACCGGCTGTATTATTTCTTTTGATGAAACTATTTAATAATTTGTGTCCAGGCAGACAGCTAAGCGTCCAGCAGAAACAGTGTTGGACCAGCGTGCATGATGTGGCTTTCAGTTATGTTTGGTGGTGGTGCAGCTCAGCTTCTCCAAGTCAGCTCGAGCACAGCACTCTTCCTCCTGCTCCTCCTGGAGACCACAGTCCCTCCGGTTTCTGGTATCTCAAGGTGTGTTTACAACCCCAGATTCATGGTCACATGCAGGAAGCTTTGTCAGAGACTACGATGCAGGCAACTCTCGGTTGCTTTTGAAGTCCCAGCTGAAGTAAACTCAAAGGTTCATTCTCCTCAATCAGGTTGAACTCAAGAGATGTTAGTTTTCCTGGATGGAAGGTCTGGAGGACCAGCAGGTCTCCCCCGCCAGCCCGAACACTAGCAGGACTTGCATGGAGCACTCCTGCCAGAAATTGGCCTCACTCAGCAGAGTGGTGCAACTCCGTTTGTGCTGGTTTTCCCGGCTCTTTGAACCGTTTTGTGTTTGGGGAAACCATGCTGTAGCCATTCCAGGTGACATTGGTAACTAGTTGTAAAATACTGTCCTTTTTTGTTGTCGTTGGTTGTATAGAGAAGTTGGTGTACAGCGGTGTACAGCTGGAGGGTTATTTGTACATACGTGGGAAGATGAACTTTGTGTGTCACCCACAGCAAATGTTGATGTTGTTGGTCAGCCAAAGATTTCTTATTCTTTGCTGTTTAAACTTGTGCCTTAATATTGTATATAATAAATGTATAAACATGTTTCTTTTCTCACTTTTCCAGTGTGAATATATTCAGCCTCTGAGAAGAAAGGGCTTTTTAAATAATGCTCTTCTAAGCTTTGCACACAACGTGCTAAGACTAAGAAGTGGTACCTCGGGGACTTCAAGGTTGCTTTTCCTCTGGTTTTCAAAGCTGTTAATGAAAGGCCCCACAGCAGGTGCCATCGGTAAGTGTGCGTGGGCACGAAATCAGTGGGTCTGCAAAGCAGAGGATCAAACCGAGAGCTTTGCCAAGCGAGAAGAGCAGGATTTTAGCGAGATTATCTTCCCCTGAAGGAAATGAAGGTGGAAAGTTAATGAGACGCTTTGGGGAAGATCTGCTTTAGTCCTACATTCCCATTAAGAATAGCACTCCCAGTGACTTTTTTTTTTAATTCTTGAGGGTCTAAGGCTTCTTTACTTGAGAGCTGTTAGGTCAGTGTGAGTGAGATACCTAAATACCTTGTGGGACTAGGTACTTTTGAGTTACTGTAACGTCCTCAGTGAGGAATACAGATCATGGGCCATTTCAAGCTGTTGTGTGGGCAAGGGGAATGCTCTGGCCTGGTGGAAATATTGCACCTCTGTTTGCTTATGCAACTGAAATAAACTGGGGGAGGGGAGCAAAAGTTACCCAAGTGTCTGGCTTGGAGTAAGGGAGGTTTGCTCAGCCGGCTCTCACATGCTCTCGAAAAGTGTCTGTTAGAAAATTCCTGAATCAGGTCCCAGGGAGCTGCAGGCATGAAAGGCATGAAAGCCACTAAGGGCATCTCTCCCCTATGGGCTCTCCTCTGCCTGTCCCAGTCTCCTCTCTCCAAATCCTCACACACGTTAAAAAAACAGCCCGCCCTGGACAGAAGCTTGTCAGCAAAGACCCAGAGTTTTGCAGAAACTCAAGCAGCAGTTTGCTTCACCCACATCCCAGCACCTCATGTTCCCCGCGCGAGCACAGGTCAGGCTGACCCATCTGATTACTCCATCTTCAAGACACGGCAGCTGGAAGTATTTGTAGTGCCCTGGCTCTTTACCACTAAGAACAAAAATTTGGTGATTGTTGAGATTGTGGCTTTTCAACTTTCTTCAAGGCAAGAATTGACAGTATAATTTGGGGTTTCGCTTGGTTTTCCAAGGCCATGGGAGAAAAGAAACTAACAGGCAAAAACAGTATTAGGGTGGGAAAAGCCTCATAGCCAACTGTGTTCAAGTATAACAAGGAGGGGTTTTATCCTATTTTTGGGTTGTGTCTTCAGCATGGATGCTCTGGCCAAAAAAAACTCGAGAACATCACTGTTACGCCGTCTCCAGGTTAAGTACGTTTTGGATATTAACCTCAGGAAAAAACACGCAAAGCAGTGAACTTCCAGAGTCAATTTATTTTAACATTAAAATCCCCAATTACTGCATTCTCCCAAAAGTAAGTACTGGGCAGTGGTCTCCTTACTTGCCACATACCGGGAGAGAGCTTGGGAGAACTAAAAATATTAACAAAATTGCCATTTTAGAAGCATTCAGGAGTCATGAGTCAAGTCCCACCCAAAACGGTGAGACCTTCTCAGGATTCACTTGGATTCAGTGCACTGTACAGCTGGCATGTCTCTTCTGCTCTGGTTCGTTGCCACATTCAGGACTCTCTCCTCCCTACGGTGTAGAGGAGCAGTGGTGAGGTGCATTCTTGGGGAGAAGCTGTGGTTTCTCACGTCATTAAATACCGCGTGGCGCTGGACTTCAGGCACGCTGCAGTGCAACGCGCGCAGAGTGCAGACATCCCTCGCCGGCAGGAAGGGCGCTGCTGGGTGTCCGCTGGCCTTTGGGATCCCAAATCTGGGATTTGGATGCAACCTGACAAAATGGGCTGGGTCTGAGCATCCCGCTGTGTTCCTGGACCACCTTAGCCAGGTTTTTGGGTACTCCATGGTGGATGAGCTGCTCACCCAGAAAGTAGATGGTGCAGGGATGGGAGAATCCTGATGGGTTGGTGGTACACAGTGGGGGCTGTGGTGGGCTGCCCTTCAGCCTACAATGGTGGGGGCTCGAGGGACCGACTGCATGTCGACCCCAAAACCCATCTTCTTACAGGTCTGTACATGTTC